AAGTCTCAGTCTTGCTGGACTCTTAAGGCCATTCTCCAGCCGCCATGGATGAGGTTTCAGGGAGGAGCCCACCCCTGTTCATTGCCCACATGAGCTTCTTAATGTTGGCTGCCTGAAAGTAGCAATGCCTGGATAGAGGAGACTGTGGCAGCTGAGGCAGTGATACACGTGTGTGCCTGAGTGGTCCGTGTTTCCAGGAGAGATGGTGGTACCCAGGGCAAGCTGAATTCCCAGTGACCACGGTGGTGCTGGGCTGCACTGGGTGAATTCAAGTCCTCAGTTCAGCCTTTTGCCAGCACTGTCCCTTCGGTGCAGTCTTTTAAACCAGAGGAACTGGGGTTATTCAGCCTGGAGAAGAGGAGGCTGAGGGGAGACCTTATTGCTCTGTACAACTCCCTGAAAGGAGGGTGTAGAGAGATGGGGGTCGGTCTCTTTTCTCAAGTCCCAGGCGACAGGACGAGAGGAAATGGCCTCAAGTTGCCCCAGGGGAGGTTCAGGCTGGATATTGGGAAAAATTTTTTCACTGAAAGGGTTCTCAGCCATTGGAATGGGCTGCCCAGGGAGGTGGTTGAGGCCCCATCCCTGGAGGTGTTCAAAAGACGGGTTGATGCAGTGCTGGGAGGTCTGGTTTAGTGATGATGCTCCTTGTTTGTTGTGGGGGTGTCTATTTTTGTCAGTGAGGTTGATGGTTGGACAAGATGATCTTTAAGGTCCCTTCCAACCTAGAAGATTCTGTGATTCTGTGAAACCTTGTCAATATTTTTCCCTTCTCTGTGGCCTTGCCTGTGCTGGAAAATTGAAAGGTACAGCCAAACTCCATCCAAAAGAAGTGTGGGTCTTATAATTAAATGGGAGTAGAAAGGGACAGTTGTGGGTAAGAGATGAGGCTGTGGCGGGTTCTCCTCCTGGCAGTAATGACCTGTTCCTGTAGCTGGATGCTGCCCAGTATCCTCCAGGCTGACGTGGCATGTGTACTGGTTTCTGCAGCACACACACACCTGGGATGGCTGGGGGAGCCACAGAAAGCAAACTGGCCGTGGTGTAGAAGCTGCAGAATGAGGTTGTTCCTGCCCTGGAGTGACAGGACATCAGGGGATGCCTGGCTCACACTGTTGGCCTCTTCCATGAGGTGTTGAAAGCTTGGAGGGACCGTGAGGGTAAAAAAGGAATGACAGGGAAGGAAAAAAACAACTTAAAAATTAAAAACTATCCCAGCTGCTCTCCATTATTTTGCCAGCTCTGTCACTTTCTTTTCTGGGCTGGATTCTCATTCCAGTACAGCCTCCAGAGATGCCTCGAATAGCCTCAGCCCTTCCTGTTTATGTAGGTTTTTTTTTTGTTCACATATATGTATAAGCAATTTCATTCTTTGCACAAAGCAAACCCTGACATTCTAGTCCCCCCTCGCCGAGGTGTCTGTGCAGCAGTTTGTTAATCCCCCAGCTCCGTGTCCCCCAAACTGCCCTCCCCACATAGAGCTGGGCAGGGAACTGGTCTCTGGCTGTTGCTGGGGGGTTTGGTCACTTATATTGAACATTTCCTGGCTGATCCCACCGGGGCTGAGACCTTGGGTGGGTGCAGAGGTGGGGACACGCAGCAGCTGTAGAACCTTTGCTTGCCTGGCTGTGCTTTTTATCTTTCCCCCCCCTTCCTTTTCTGTTACTAATTTGTAAGGGACTGGCTCCTGCTCACCACTCTTTATACAAGCCAAGGACAGGCTTGTGTAGCTGATAGTTTGCAAATTATTAGTAATTTGATTTCAATTGGATGAATAACCCGTTAAAGCAAGGCGTACATTAGGCTCAGCAATCTAATTGGTGATAACGGCACAGAGACGTGGAACGAGCGCTCGGTTCTGCTCCCTGTCCCTCTCCCCTCCCCCTCCCAAAAAAGATAATTAGGATTTAATTTCATTCTCACCTATTCATTTGTCTAAATATGGGTGTTTAATTATCCATCTCGGCAGATAGATGTCTCTGCCTCTATGTGGATCTGAGCTATTCCTTTGGCAGGAGGTTTTCCCTCCCCCTTACTCACAACCCTCCGATGCTTTGAAGTTCAGCTGAGCTGGGTCTCGTTACGAGCTACGCCTTCGCCTGATGCCAAGCATCTTTCTCTGCAGTCCACCCGTGTTGGTGGCTGCAGCAGACCACCAGAAGTTACATTTTATGGAAAGCTGAGAGTTTAACGCAGAGACTGAACCCCAAGTGGAGAGAGGGGAGCCCAGGCCAGCAGCTCAGAGTCCTGTGCAGGTCATTTCACCCTCCGCCTTATGCTCCTTGTGGTGGTGCTGTGGCTGGGAGGAACCTGCCTACCTGCTTCCTTGCTGTTTGGGTGGGATGTGGACCTTCCCATTGAGGTACAGGGTCTGAGTCCGAGGGCTGGAAGGGATGGCAGTTCCCAGTGTGGATGGAAATATTAGCTGCACAGGTAAAGGGAATGTTGCAGCACTGCTCTGAGACTCCAGTATGAAGACAGTTTTTACCTGCCAGGTAGGGTTATAGTAGATGGACATTTGGTACGTGTGAGCTCCAGAGCTGAGAACTGTGGAAACAAGAAGCCCATAATTAGTGAGTTTTAGGGTGGGACAGAGCAGTTACTGGTGCGGCAGAACACGGTGCTCTGTTGCTGTGCATCTTTGTGTGGCCCGAGGGAGCACACACCGGGGTGTAATGGGAGCACAGATGTGGTCACAGTGGTCCAGGGGACCACTCTGGTGGTGTTCAGGGCCTGACAACCCGGTCCACTGTGGTCCAGGATGTCAGGCTCTGGACACTGCTTGGAGGAGATGCCTGTTGCCTTCAGAGGCAGACCCATGGGGTAGGTTACCTCAACTACAGGTTTTCTGAATTGTAATTTTTTTATCAGGTAAGGGACTGCAGATTTTTAATCAGACAAACATGGCATTTAATCTACATAGAGCTCAGGGCCAAACAAACCTTTTCAGTTTTTTTTGAGAGCGCTGAAGAATGTTTTATGGACAGAGAAACAGGAGGAGGAGCACAAGGTTCCTTTTCAGACTTGCAGTTCGGTTTCTGGCTGTTCCCATGGAGTCCATTGCTGTGCAGTGTTTGGAGCTCTCCCCACTTCCACTCTGCAGCTGCCAGGGATCTGATTTGCACAGTGCAAGGTGCTGAGCTGGAAGTAAAGGGGGTTTATGAAGAGTTTGTGTACGTAGGAAATCTTGTATTCTAGGGAAGGGGGCGAAATCAAGCTCACCATCCTCCACTGATTCCACAGATCGACCCTCCCAGGCCTGTTGGGCCATAAGGGCTTTGACTGGTTTGAATTGGGACTCAGATCAGCTTGCCTGGAAAGTCCAGATGTGTCCCAGAGTTTGACAAATCTTCAGTTTGTGGAAATTTTACTCACTGCCTGAGTTTGGCCTGTCCTTTCCAGAAAGTTTTCAAATGTCTGAATTTTAACTTTGAAGAACAACTGTTATTGCCATAAGCTCAGTAGCTGGGAAGTACCTATTCCATTTCTATTTGCAAATAAAATGTTGGGAAGATGGAAAGCTAGGACAGGTTTTCTAAAGTTTTTCATGTGAGGAAGAAGAATAGGAAAACTAGGTATATGTAGAACTATTAAGTACAGTTCTGAGCACAGCTTTATTGGTGAAAGTTTAATATCCACTAAAATCTGACAACCCCTTAAAAGAACTACTCAGAGACCAACCGGCCTCCCCTTTCTGAGCCAGTCTTCAGGAAGAACACAAAAGCTGTGCTATCACATTAGTAAAACTTGCAGCAGCATCATGTCTTGGGTGTGGAATTATTTCCGTGCTAAGAGTTGCCTCCAGTTGATTTCTGAACCAGGCTGAAGCGGGGGCACCCGTTCAGGAAAGCACTTTAACAGACACTCAAACCTGACTTAAGTCCCATTGACTCCACTGGTCATGCTTAAGTGTCTCCTGGCCCAATTCAAAGCACATTGAAATCAGAAGAAACGCTCTCTTTTACTTCAGCAGGTTTTAGATTTGGGTTTTTTTTTCTGCAGTCTTCAGCTACAGACTGTTGCTTTTTCTAGTTGAAGACAGAGAGCTAGAGAGAGACACGAAATGCACAAAAGTGCATTTGGTCTCTGCTACTGGTAATATTTGCAGACTCTTCTGCTTAATGCTTTCAGGGAACCTACATCTGCAGGAGCTGATTTATAGGCACAGTGAGGACCCAGCCTGTTCTCTGGCAGATGCTGGGAGCCGGGGGAGCAGGGTTGTGCAGGGACATGGGCTGGCTTTGCCAGTTGGGTCTCAGATGGCTGGGGTTCTCATCCATCACGTTGACGTGGAGAAAGAGTGGTGGTCACAGACCTCCCCTGGGTAGTGGGGGGAGAACAGTGCTTCCTCCTACCCACTGGAGACACCAGACCACAGAAGGTCAAGCCTTAGCCCTCTGGCGTGGTTGTCTAGTAGCCAAGGCAGGGGGGAACCCAACAAAACCCCCACCCCCTTGGCTGCTCTGTCTTAATTTAGGATATTGTTCATCTAGGATCTGCTATTCCTGCTTGTCAGCAGGCAGAGAGACAGAATATGTGAAATTAATTTCCGAGGTGGGAAATGGCTAATAATTTATTTACAGCTGGGGCGGGCGTGGAGGAGGGAATACAGTACAGACTTATTTGGGTTTTCTTCATAAAATATCAATGTTTAGCTCTTTCTGCTTCCTCTGAACATGTCCTATTAGTTGAAACAACATCCTGCAGTCCCCACATCTATTAGGGAGGCTGCAGGCAGCAAAGAGAGGTTCTCTCACAGCTGCAGGTCTCTCATTTGCATCACCATGAGCCCAGCTGTGGACAATCAGGACTGATGTGTGTGTGCATTGTGGCTGGTCACAGCACCTCCCAGCTCAGAAGAAGACAATAGTTGTGGTGGAGAACTAGGGAGAGCAAGTTTGAGAGGACCACGGGTGGGTTGTCGTGACGGAGCAGATCTTCTAAGCGGTAAGAGATGCAGCGTTCAGTGTGTGCCACTGACCTTTCTGTTTGTTTGTTAACAGGATACACACCCACTGGGATTTAAACATCTCCTTCCGAGAGACCTCTTGCAGGTACCATTTTGGGGCACCCTCTTTGTATGGTAGGCTAAGAGTTTATGATCTGTTACTGGCCTGTGGATGCTGTTAGATGTAAATGAACATTTCTAACTGTCCGTGCTGTGGGGTTTTTGTGTTTCTCCTTTGTTCCTCTTTCTCCCCTTACCACATATCCTTTCTTTTGTTTTTATTTTGGGGAAATTGTCTTTGGGGGAAACAGTCTCTTTTGTGCTAGAAGAGAGAATTGATTAGACTTGTAAAGAAAACCCTTTATTGGTTTTGATATGTTTACACTGGTTCCTTTTTGGAAGAATGTGAAGTTGGGGTGGCCCAGATCTGTTTCCTGATATGAGACAGGGGAATCTGTATCTCATTTGCAAAAGGGATTCTTGGCACAAAAGGGTCATTGAAAGCCAAACTGATGCTCCTGGGTTGCTCCAAAGTTGCAGTGTTGTGCTTAACAAACTTAAAACAGTGTTGAAGTATGAAGTATTGGAGCCAACAGGACTTGTGTGTTTTGTAATGTGAGGTACGAATGGGTTGAACTGCAGTTGCAAAAGTGTTTACAAGTCAGCTCGGGAAGAAGCTGATATTCAAAAAATTGTATAGAAGAAATTACAAAGAAATTACATAGAAGTGTGACTTGTGAGAAGAGAGGGATTGCCAAAGTCTAGTTTCTTGCAGTAACAGAAAGTGGAAATGCATAAATTGAAGACACTGAGTTACAACCATGAATATTCCTTTGTGAACTCTGGGTCAGCTGATACCCTGAGGATCTTGCATTCTCTTTATATGTTGCTAGTAGTCATAAACTTTTCTAATTCTTTAAAAATACAGCTGCAGAAATTTGCCTCTGTGCTAGGAAAAAGAAAGTGGAATTTTAAAATTTCTATTTTATACTCAGTTGCCACATCAGAGTGAAATGGTTGAGGCTGGCAGGTGCTGCTTGTTTTCTGAAACAACAAAGATCAGTCTGTGCAGCTGTGAAATTCATGGAGAACACAAAAGAAAAGGAGGTAGATGGGTGCAGAGCAATCCAGAATCTGGTTCTGTGTGTGCTTCATACATACGTGGATATGTAATCATAAAATCAGGATCTAGTCCATTGTTACATGGATATGTAATCATAAAATCAGGATCTGGTCCATTGGATCTGCTTGCAAATAGTAGTCCACTAGTAACTTTTTTGTTTTGCTAAGAGTAGTTTCTGATGGTTTGTCTAAACTTCTTGTTCAGTTTGAGATTTAAGAACAGTAGGAAAATATTACTACTACTGCTACTTGTGGAAGTGCCCTCTGCGTGTTAGATGCTTCACAAACATTTAAGAATGTTTGTGGAGATCAGATTGTCTGGACAAGGGAGTGCAAATAATTTAATCTGATGACTTTTGTGACAGGACTTAATGTGTATATGACTCAGTGCAGCAAATGTAGTGTTTACTTAAGAGAACATTGTTTAAGAGCTTTAGAGGGACATACCTGTCAGTATTGCGGCTGATGTGGACCTTTCTCTGTTATATCTGTATATATTGGAATATATATAGATATATATATATATATGTATATCGGAATGTTTTGCAAATGTAAGCATCTGTTACAGGAGCAGGTGGACCTTTCTCTGTTATATCTGTATATATCAGAATATATATAGATATATGTATCTATATGTATCTGTATATCAGAATGTTTTGCAAATATAAGCATCTGTTACAGGAGTGTTAGAAATTACTTCCATCTCCACCACGTGCCCGTCAAACGCAGTGCGAACAAGTTCTGTCTGTTCCCAAAAAACCTGTGGCACAGGTGAAATGGTTGAGGCTGGCAGGTGCTGCTTGTTTTCTGAAACAACAAAGATCAGTCTGTGCAGCTGTGAAATTCATGGAGAACACAAAAGAAAAGGAGGTAGATGGGTGCAGAGCAATCCAGAATCTGGTTCTGTGTGTGCTTCATACATACGTGGATATGTAATCATAAAATCAGGATCTAGTCCATTGTTACATGGATATGTAATCATAAAATCAGGATCTGGTCCATTGGATCTGCTTGCAAATAGTAGTCCACTAGTAACTTTTTTGTTTTGCTAAGAGTAGTTTCTGATGGTTTGTCTAAACTTCTTGTTCAGTTTGAGATTTAAGAACAGTAGGAAAATATTACTACTACTGCTACTTGTGGAAGTGCCCTCTGCGTGTTAGATGCTTCACAAACATTTAAGAATGTTTGTGGAGATCAGATTGTCTGGACAAGGGAGTGCAAATAATTTAATCTGATGACTTTTGTGACAGGACTTAATGTGTATATGACTCAGTGCAGCAAATGTAGTGTTTACTTAAGAGAACATTGTTTAAGAGCTTTAGAGGGACATACCTGTCAGTATTGCGGCTGATGTTGTTATATCTGTATATATTGGAATATATATAGATATATATATATATATGTATATCGGAATGTTTTGCAAATGTAAGCATCTGTTACAGGAGCAGGGAGTGTTAGAAATTACTTCCATCTCCACCACGTGCCCGTCAAACGCAGTGTGAGCAAGTTCTGTCTGCTCCCAAAAAACCTGTGGCACAAGACTGAAAGTGGGCAGCAGAGAAGGGAAGGACAGCTAGGCTGGTATCAAAGTTAGCACAGACTTTGGCCCTGAAGTATAAAACCCCATAATTCCTAAAATTTATGATGTTAAGAATACAGCACCCTACAGACTGAAAGTGGGCAGCAGAGAAGGGAAGGACAGCTAGGCTGGTATCAAAGTTAGCACAGACTTTGGCCCTGAAGTATAAAACCCCATAATTCCTAAAATTTATGATGTTAAGAATACAGCACCCTACCCTGATCAGAAGGCGTCTGGAAGGCACATCTCACCCAGCATTCCTGTAAAAAACAGCTGCAGGTTTTTTTTTGTATGGCAGCCTTTAGAATAAAATCCCTGGTTTGTTGCTGTAAGCTTTTGGGACTCTAAAATACAAAAGAATGGATTCCTTCCAGGCAGATCCTTTCATGATAAATTTCAGCCTAGAGCAAAGTTTTATGGTTGAGTTATAAACTCCTAAAAGGCAGGGGCTTGTAATGGAAGTGCTGACACAAGCCTTAATTAATGGCCACGTGAACAACGATTCTGCACAGTGGCAACTAAGGGTGCAACACCTTTGGAAATTAGAAACCCTATCTTAACAAATATTCTGAACTTGCAATGCATGGAATAAAATAATGGTGTGGTTTTCGTGTCAACAAGTTCAGTTTTTGGGCTTCCTTGGCCTCACTGTTCAGCTCTTTCCTGGCAGAACATCAGTAGTTCCTCCTGGGAACAGAAGTCTTGCTTTTGCAGATTAAACAGTTTGTCTGACAATTAAAAATTGCCCCAATCCAGCTAGTTCAGAAGAAACCACCACGCGTTACGTTGTGTGGCAAAGAAAGTAATTTGTGTGTTTATGTGTTGGTACAGGAAAAGGTTGTATTTAGGTGACCTAAATGGCCACACAGTTCTGTAAAACATCTGCTGTATCATAAAATACATCATGGGGTGGGAAAAAGGTTTAGCTGACCTCTGTTCTGAGTGACCTGCAGAATTCAGCCCATGGGAGTTCCCCAGGTCACCCCAAATCCATGCCAGGAAATCATTAGGATGCAGCACACCTGTGTCGACACACACAGTCACCACACAGGTGACTTAAATGAGGCAGGGCTGAGAACTGCCGCCTTAATTTATCTGCCTCTGTGTCCTGAATTTGTCTTTGATCTTCCTTTCCAAGTTGTCAGAAGATACCTGGATTCATTGGCTTTAGCCACCATGGAATTGCTGTCTGTGTTGCCTGGGATAAAAAGACATTTAATTGGGTACAAATCATTCTACATGCAAGGAACCAAAAGCTTGAGATAGGGGAATTTTCCTGAAAGGGGAGATTAGAATCTCTTCTTGCATTCTACATGCAAGGAACCGAAAGCTTGAGATAGGGGAATTTTCCTGAGCGGGGAGATTAGAATCTCCCCTTGTCTTTCCAGGTGCTTTGTTCCCTTCCCTTTTAAACTTTGAAGTTAATAGGGGTTTAAATTTTTGTTTACAGCTTGTTTTCCTTTAAAATTGCCTTTTTAGGGTAGAATTTACTAATATGGCTGTACTGTTCCTTGAATTTCTTGAATGAATTTCATTTGCTGAAATGTGTTGCTCACAAGTTGCTCAGTAAATGATGCACTTATTTTATTTCAAGGCAAACCTGTCAAATTTTGCAATAGTAAACACAAGGTTAAGGCCTGGTCTCTGCCACAAAATACCTGCTCTCCGCTCCCCTCCATGTCCGTGTGAATCCCAGGTGCTCAGCACCACTGGCAGGATTACTTTTCCGAGGCTGATGCATCTCATGAAAATAAATTGTGGAATAAAAAGGAGTTCCAGGGAGGAAAAGGATTTTCCTTCCATTTGTTGCCACTCGATGTCTTGAGGGAACTGCTGGGAGAGGAGTGAAAAATAGATAAGAGGCCGTGCATGTTAATGCCACGCGGTGATGCAGCTCAGGGTGGAATAAACATCTTGCCCACCTGAGAATTTGAAGACACTGTCAGGGCAGTTAAGTCATCCCTGTTTCCAAGGAAATCAAGAGTTGTTTAGTGTTGCCGTTGTTAAAGATGGCCTGACTGGTAGGTAAGTAATTTGGTTAAAGCCAAATAAAAAGACAAGGGGCACAGCAGAGAATTGAGCCAGGTGCTTTGGCTTTTGGCTACACGGTAAACAAACTCTGAAAGAATATCCAAGGCAGCATTTTTGTCTTCAAAGTCCTACCCTGGTGCAGGCATAAAACAGTGACAAAGAGGCATGAGCACTCTAGAGAGTCTCTTCACTGCCCTTTGAACAAAAAGCCACTTGAGGGGACACTCCAAGCTTCCTGGGCCTGCCAGGGGATAACTTCATCCAGGTACGTGCCACGTGAGGAGATGGAAGGAAAACAAAGGCATCGTTTGCCCAGAGCAAATAAAATGCATTTAACAACCACAGTTTAAACAAAGATTACAGTGGTGTGTAGC